CTAGTGAGGTGAAGCGCGCGCTGAGGACCCCGGTTCGCCTCCGAGAGCTCTTGCGCCTCGCAACGGCGATGGCCGCCGTTCCCGGGGAGTCCACGCCTCCACGGCCTGAATATCTGCACTAAGTCCTCGGCCTGGCCTCGATCTCCCTAAGGGAGGGTTCACTGCCCGCTCCTCTGCCTCCGAGACCAAGCGGCAGCCGGGAAGGTTGGGCCAGCAGTGGAGGCTCGCTCAGGTGCCGCGTGTGCTGCTCGCTAGGGACTGAGAACACACAGGGTGAGGCCCCGAAAGAGCCTCGGTAGCCACAGCGGCGCTCGCAGGAGCTTGTTGAGGGGAAACGAGGCCATCGTTCCCTCCTCCTTCCTATCTGACACGCAAGGAAACAAGGCTGGGAGCCAGCACAAGCTCCTGCGCTGCACCCGCGAGAAGCTCTGAGCTGCACAGCCTGGCCTGCCAGCCCAGTTTGCTTATAGAAGTCTGTTAGACAAAGCAGTAAATCGGTGTGGGTATTGTCCTTTCTGTTTTAGATGCCTGTGACCGTGGGCCCATATGGGCAGTCGCAGCCCAGCTGTTTCGACAGAATAAAGATGGGTTTCATGATGGGCTTTGCAGTGGGCATGGCTGCAGGAGCGCTGTTCGGCACATTTTCCTGCCTCAGGTATGCCAAGGAAATGGCTTCCACAGACAAGTGGTGACAGGGAGATAGCCAGAGAGAAATGGTCATGCTGTGGGGTTGGGAAGGGATTGGTTTTGGTCCTGTGCTGGTCCCATGAATGGAACTTTGTCTGTGACTCCCAGCTACTGCAGTAAGCCCCTGGCCTACAAAATGTGAGTGTGGTGCTGGCAGGGCATCACCCCTGGGTGCCCTGTATGCCGGGAGGTCACAGCTTCACCTTTTCTTGCCTCTTGTAAGGAAGGTTCATTGGGAAGCTGAGGCTGTGGAGGATCACCTCCAGGAGGAACCAGATTAATTGTCAATGCAGATACCTGTGCAGCCCTCTCCTGGCCCTAAGGCTTCCTGAGGTGCTCTGTAAGCTCCCAGTGTCTGCATCGTGGTCCCTTTGTGTGTCCCATGCCCTGCACAGAGGCAGTTACCAAACTGACCCTGAGTCTGAATGGCAGGAGTGTGGATCCACCCATGGCTCGCATTGGCACAGTCCCACTGTGCAATGGAGAGTGACAATATTCCACCTTCCCCTGGAACTCAGCATGCTGACATGAAAACAAGCTGTGTTTGTTGCTCTGTGTTTGCTCTGGCACTGTTGACTGGTGTTGCACATCATCTGTGACAAAGAATCACTAAAGTCAGCTCTTTCATACTTTGCAGAACTCTGTTTGATGGTTTTTACCTGTGATTAAACATGGGAGATGATTTGGTAGTGGGGTGAAGGAGGAAGAGGTACAAATGTTAATCCAATGGGAGTTTGAAGTTTTCTAATTTCTCTCAGTTCCCAGAGGATAAGCAGCATGGTGCTGGCAGAAGATACATATTAAGAGCATTTAGAAGAATCAGAGTGGTTCTGTTGTACTTGAATGACACAGCTGCAGTACTTGTGCTGTTCTATTTTTGAGAGAAAATCTCATGTTTTAAGAATGAAGTGCATGAAATTCCTTAGACTCTTAAGTCACTGCACTGTTTAAAAGCCAAATATTACAAGAGTTTCTTGAGACCGAACAATTCTTTTTGTTTTAGTCTGACCTCAGGTAAGTGAAAAATGGAGAACAGAAACACTTTTTGAAGTTTCTAGGCCTTTCAGGTGTCCCACATTAAAAATGCAGAGTCAGTAGTAAATAAAAATTTAAGTTGATTTTAAAATTTTAAGGTGATATTAAAAAGATTGCCACTGTAGCTAGAGAGGATGGCAGTACAACAGCTCAGACAACTCTTTGTACTCTGGCAAGTGAAATACTTGGCCAGCATTTTTTCCCCATATTAAGGGTATTTGGGAGACCAGGATGCAAAGCTGTGCCTGCTAAGGGTGTGGCAGGAAGGTTCCACTGCAGGAAAAATACACATGGGCCATGTGAGGTGGGGGCCACCCAAGAGCCCCTGCAGTAGCACAGGGCACTGCACCCAGTCTCTGGGGAGGCAGCTGTACAATTGCACAGATGTAGATGTAGAAGTGTTCAGTTTGCAACCATGAGCTGATTGTGTCAGATGTTTTCTGCTGCATGTCTGTGATCTGTCAGGTTTCAGCTTTTATATAATCCCTGTGATTTTCTTTATCTCAGGATTGGCATGAGAGGACGAGAGCTGATGGGTGGAGTTGGCAAAACGATGATGCAAAGCGGTGGGACGTTTGGGACATTCATGGCCATTGGTATGGGAATACGCTGCTAATCTGGAGTTTGGGATTTATCCCAGAGTGCCCCCACCCAGCCATTCCTCCACTGTACAATAATAAAATCTTTAGATACCTGGAAGTGAGAGCTCTTAATGAAACAGCACAGTCCTACCCTCTGTGCTCTGCTGATTGTAAGCATACCTTTTACAAAATTTCTACTTTCTTCCCATCTCTTTCTCCCAAAACAATGAGAGTTAATAATCATTTTTACTACATTGAAGTTCCTGTTTTACAGATAGAAATACGCCACACAAGTTTCCCCCTTTGGCACTTGGGCAGCTCACACTGCCGATGTGGATGTGGAGCTGCTTTGTCCCTTCTTGCAGTCCTCAGTCTAGTAAAGTTAGATGGTGGATACTTCAGATTAATTATAAAATTTCTGTCCTCTTGCAAAAATAGGTGGGTTGAAGCTGGTCACATTTCTGAATTCACAGTGTCATGAGGCAGGTGCCCGCAACAGTGTAAGGGACCCCAGGATCCAGGCAGCTCCCACAAGAGCTGTGCTCCCAGAAACAAAGCCTTTTCTTTCATTCTGGTTTAGCAGGCCTACAAGGTGGTCAGGACTTCCCTAGGAGAGCATGGGAATCCCTCCTCATCCTCCCCACCCCCAGAAGCACTGCCTACAGCTGACCTAGGAAAGGTGTTGGGTGTTGTAGTCTTCCACTACTTGCCTTTTGAAATAAGGCCTCTTTCTGCTCCTCCTTTAGTTCTGTGTAAGGAAGACATGTGAGCAATAGCACTACCTCAACTGGCACCTGTACAGCCTGGCCCTGGTACAAGTGCCTTTTCCCCAGTTTTTAAGGCAGAAACACAAATTCATGACTCAAAGCCTGTTCTCAGATAAAGCACACCTAGAGAGCCAGTTTTACTTCTTCAGCTGTGTTACTATTCCCAGAATCCTGCTGTATTCCCAGCCCCTCTCCACTTCTACCTTTTGCTTGCTCCAAGTTCTTTGATTAGGGACAGGCCCTTGCCACACTGTAGCTCAAGGACAGCCACGGCCCTGGAGGCTGCAGAGCAGATCCTCTCCCCGCAATACTACAGAACACCCGTAGCACTGCTGCCTGCCCCACCTTCACCCACTGCCAAGGAATGCTCTGTTCTCCCTACTCTCCACCTTGGTCTTTTCTTAGTGGTTAAAAAGGCCAGGGAGGTGGGACAGGGATAGAAGGAGCAAAGCACAGGGGCAGCTTCCCTCTAGAAACCAGACTGAAAGCAAACATAACTGACTCCTCCAGCCCCAGGACTCTCAACCATTTGTGAAGGATGGGAGTGGAGGAGGGCAGGAGGGCTTTGTCTCTGGACTGAACTTTAAGCATGCCTGAGGACAGGAGTTGTGCCCAGATCCTCAGCAACCATGGTCACACTGCACAGAGGGCTGGGAACAGCTTCTGCATGTACTCTGAGCACATGACATCCCAGGGCCTACCTGCATCCTGTGTAGTCGTATCCCAGACACTGGGCACTGCACAGCATCTATCACTCGCCTCCAGGCCTAAGCACACAACTGCCTAAATCACATTGGGAGAGCAGAGAAATAAAACTTCATGAAGGCCTTTTTAAGAGAATTTTATTTGAGTGGTTCTTACAAAGATTGTTGCAATATGAAAGTCTTTGATAGAAATATCAAGCTGTCTTGTCAAACACACTGAAGTAACCCAAAAATATATTTCAGAGCTCACAGAGCTTAAAAAGAGCAAAGATTATATGCAACCAGAACAAAACACTTTTCTGTATTTCCTACCCATTTTCAGACTTGGCTGAAATCCTCCAGCTCTGCCCCACTGCACTCATCTGGAAATGCAGAGATGTTTTGTTTGGAAACTTAGACACACCTCACAGTATTTACAAAGAAACTTTTACAGATACAATAATCAAAAGTTACCATCAAGAAGTAAAACCCTTCAATCCTCCTATTCTTACCAATTATTCGGCACAAAGCAAGCTGAGTAGCTGTCTGCAGTCAGCATTCAGTAGCTTTTTGGATTTTCCCTTTATACAAAAACACTAAATATGTCCCTTCATCCAGTCTCTCTCTGATACTACCCTTGTGCAGATCACCCACATTTAGTGAAATGTAAAATGTCTTTGCTGCATTAAAAGAAAGGCTCATGAAACATTAAAAATGTCATTATGTCCCATCTGCCTTTTACAGAGTACTTGTTATCTATGAGCTACTTCTCAGTTCCTACAGATCACCTTTGTCAATGTACAAGAATTACAAGGCAGAACAAGAAGTCAACAGCTTTGTATACAGTGGAAATGCTAGTTAGGGAGAATGAACACACTGCATTTCTGCTTACTTCATTTTATTTTTAAAGATAGCAGGAAGTGTACACAAAATGACATTAAATCCTTTCCTTTAGTTTTATCTAAATAAAAGATAACTCAATCTTCCTCCAAAAAATACCTATGTACAAAACTGACTAAATTAATCTTCATCGTCGAACAGGAACCAGTAGTTGGGTTGCAGTCATAGAGTCTGGGAAAAGGCTGTGGTATGTTGGAAGAGGTACATACGCTGCTGTAATCATTTTACCTAATCACAAGAGGAAAAAAGTAAACATCAGTGTTTGTCATTTCTGTAATGGATGACTAAATGTAGGCGTGTACATGGAACACTCACCTGCAAACCACCTCCCATGCAAAGCATTGACAGCTGCGATGGCAGCAGCGATGGAGGGACATTTCACATACACATTGCCCTGCAAGACAGAATAGTGCAGCCCATGAGAAGTCAGAGACACTTGCCCAATGCTGTTCCTCAGCTACCCCTGGACCTGGCTGGGACAGAGCCACACCTGCTCCACGGGCACCCGCTGGGATTAATCCGTAACACAGAATGAGCACAAGAGAAGGTTGCACTGCAACCTTCAATTTTTCTAAATAGGATTTTGCAAGATAGCCCAAACATGCATTTGAGCAGCAATCACTGAGCCATGAATGGCTGATCTGCTCCTGAGAGCCTTTTAGAGAAAGGATCTAAAGGCTCCTAACCATTAACACCGTGTGAAAGAAAATAGCACAAGGGGTCTTACTGCCCCCAAGGCAGCCCAGCTGCCAAGGTCTATAAGCCACAAACCTCAACTACATATGCTCCACTCAACATGCAAGCTCACAGCCTGTATTCCACAAGAACCAAGCACTCCCCGTTCCCCCAGACAGAAGCAACACTTCAAGGGAGACAGATTCCCTAAAAATTCTCCTCCATAAACATCAGCATGTCTGTCTTTACTCGAGCAAGAACTAAGGCAAAGGGAAAATCCCATCCCTGCAGGGCAGGAAGAGCTTGAGATTGTTCCCAAGGCACATGACAGACTGATCTTTGAACTTCACCCTGAGTTTGCCATCTGCAGATCAAGCACTGTGCCTCCCTAATCCAAAGAACCACAACAGTCACACCCAACAACTCCAAGACACAGGGATGCCCACAGTAATGTGTGGCATTTTTCTGGTTGCCTGCTTAAAAACAGACCATCAGTAATACCCAAAGAAGATCGATTCTAGCTGAAACAGATTTTTCAGGAAAATAGTACATTAAAAAATAGATTCCAGCCTTTCCTTAGCAGCTTTAGTCAGCCAGTATTAACTCTTCCCACTGCAATCTAACTCATTCCTTTCTCATGGGGCAAACCTGAGCTTAGGGGCTGGTGTTTAAGGCACTAAGGAATCAATTATCATACAGAGCTCTGCTCTCAGCCTCCCCCTGCAAAGGCACCTAAACTGCTTAAATGCCCAGTTGAGGTGCAGGAACACAAAGCTGTGGCTTTCCTTAACACCAGGCAGAACAGACAGATGTGGTACATGAGCCATACAGTCAGCTGGGACTGCAACTGTTTAATCCTCAACAAATCACATGCTCATAAGCCAACCCCTGACAGGCCTCAGCACAGAAGTCTGGGACAGAGCCCTGAAGGCACCCAGAAACCGAGCCTGGAAAACAGAATTGTACAATGGAAACTATCAGTGGGTATTTTATATCTGTGTCACTGCTGTGCTACTATGACAAAACAGATTTCATTTTTTATGAAACATTAACTCATTACTTAGTATGTTGCAGTTGCTTTTTTAAAATCCACCTGCTAACATGAAACAGAATTTTGCAGCTCCATGGGCTTAGAACCTATGTGAGGTATCCTGAGGGCTAGTGTAGTTTTGGGGGTGGTGGTTTTCTGGGGGGTTGTGCAGTGATTTTTTTGTGTGTTTAGTTGCTGAGAGGGTTTTTTGGAGGTGGGAAGTGTTAGGGGTTGTTGGCTATTTTGGAATTTTTTTTTTCTGTCAAAGAACACTTAATTTTCTCTAAGTAACAAACACATTATGGGGAAGGTTTCTTCCTCTTATCAGTCCAATGGTCCAAGACCACAGGCGTGATCTTGAAGATTACAAGATGCTAGGTAAGGCAGCACACTGTTTTATGTGCTAGACTGCAGCTCCTATCTAACCTCTGTGTAACCCACAAGAAAGGGTTTTAGGTGATATTGGGGCAGCTGCACAAGACAGCAATGGTTGAGTGCAGGGCAGAACAATCCCACCAAAGCACACCAGCAGGAACATGAGTTTCAGCCTTATACCTTAGCATGGAACACAAGATGACACTTTTAGGGTCAGATAGATAGAAATTGACCCAACTGTGAAACCATCTGAAAACTGAACTTCTGTTTGGGCTGTGAATTCTTTTTAAAAAGGGTTCAAGAGAATTAATCTATTTACAGACCTTCCAGAGTTTATACAGTCTAAGAGCTGAAATACAGAGAAGAGGTAACCAGTCTGGGGTTGATGTAAACAAGGTCAATTCAGAAGAAAAATATATTTACCAGTCTAAGATGCAGGTATTAATCTGGAATTCAGTCAGCAGCAACGGTGTTTCTCTTCCCTGTTCTAACTCCAGGCCCTCAGACTGCTCATTGCAAGACTTTAATGTCCATGAGTAACCACAACTGTTTCTAAGCACGGGATGAGGCACATATTTACCTTATGCTGTAATTCTGCTGGAGCAAAAGCTCTTTTCTACTGAAGCCTGTGCTCTAGAAAGAGGAAACTGAAGTCCTTGACTTGGGGGAAAGGCACAACTTAAGGGAAATGCCAAATGCCTGAACTAGTCACTGCTCTTCTACAGCAACTTCAGCTGGGTAAACCTTCAAGAGCAGCACCAGAAAGCTGCTCATCCAAGTTACACACCATGATTCACAATCGGAGAGAACCATCTACATTCTGCACAAACTAAGAAATTTAGGTACAGTTTAGGAAAAGCCCCATATTTGTAATGCTCCCCCTGGACAAAAGAAAGCAACAGAGCTCCTAACATCAGCTCAGTGTGTCATTCCCGGAAGCAGGCATACCTGAGCTGAGTTTTTGTCAACATAGATGTGGATAACTCCTCCATGTTTGTTACATTCCTCAATCACATCATCTTTAATTTCTGTGTCCCAGCCAGCTTCTTCTTCACTGTACAGGGGAAGGAAAAACAGGACAGAGATCATTCACACAAAATCCACCCCCAAAACCCATTAAACACATGCCTGCAACATTCTGATTTCTTTCTTACACGTTAAAGTCATTGACAAATGCCAAACAGACGACAAATCACTTACGTTTGAGGATTAAACATGTTGGAAAGCTGGAAGCACTGTGTTGCAAGTGGTTGTACAGAAGCAGCTGCAGCCAGAACTGTTGTAATGAAAAAAAAAAAAATTAGCATATCTAAGAACCCACTATGCATGGCTCTGATTTATTCAGCATAATAGAAGCAGCTCTGACTAAACAGAAACTGAAGGCAGGAAAGCAAAACTCAAAACCAGGCACTACTGATGATAGATATATTTAAAATGATCAATACAAAAGCCAGCACACTATGAATCACAGTTGAACCTGAAAAGTGAAAATATCATCATGTACATTGATTTTGGCAGATTTTCCATTTGAACATTAAAAGGCACGCATCTTCATTTGCATTTAAAATGTCTGCCTGAGTTGTATGTCAGCACCTTTAATGTTTTGCTCCTCACAGATGCCCAGCAGCAGCTCAGGACAGCACCACCCCAGCTGACTGGACAGCAAAGGACAGACAACCTTGGGGAATTCCTAAAACCTGTTTTAAGCACGTTGAATTATGCTTCAGAAGTGTACCTGCACTTTCATCCCTTGAAAACGCAGACTGAAGGAAACATTTGACACCTGAAATTGCTCTTTCCCTATAACAGTGAAATTATTACTTGTCATTTATTGCTGCTTATCATGCCAGTACATTGCATTAAACACTGTCCCACAGGCTGCCCTTCCACAGACTTCAGACTTCTGTCAATGGAGAAACTCTGAGACAGTAAACCCAAACTTCTGATTCTCAAATAACCCCTCTAAGGCAGGGAGAACACTGCTACCCAATCACAAATACCAGTCCACGCATTTTCTTGGACTAGTACATGGCTGGAGAATGCTACCAACACTGGAGAAAATGCTACCAAGAATTTTCAGTCAAAAAAATAACAGGATGATTCCCCACTTCCCCACAGATGACTAGACAACTAGGAGAACACAATTTCTCAGGTATGGGCAAACCCTATACCACAAGAATTTCCCCTACAGACACCTGAAATAAAATCTACTAATTACAAGTCATAATAAATGCTAGTTTACCTTCATTCTGCTGGGACAGTCTCGTTTGTAAATCTAAAGAAAAATACAGAGAAGTTAATTAGAATGCTTGCTAGCATCACTGTATCATCACCTGCCAGCCAGGTTGTTCAGCTTGTTTTTCTGTGGTTAAGAACTTATTTCAGTATCACTGTTCCTCTCTAGTTGTGAGTAGTTTCGCTAATTTCAGCTTCTGTACTAGAATGTTCTGTACTTGACAGATTCTGTGACAACAAAGCATTTTAAAGAGCAACAATACCTTAAAAGGACAGACATGACCATGTACCTTTAATTCAATGTATTACTCCCAACTTGCTTTTGCTGTGATTGTCTTCAAAAGACATGTTTTACATGAGAAAATAATTACAGCAATTCTGACATGCATTAGAGGCGTCAACACCAACATCTTTACTACCAGAAAGCAGTTAAGCACACAGCTATCCAAACCTGACATTCTTAAAGCAGTTACCAAATTTCATTTCAAGTAGAATAAGGCAATACTTTGTCTGCTTTGCTTTCATATAGATGGCATAATCATACAAGTAGCTTTGGTATTTTTCAAATTCAAAACATTTTCCAGTGTTCAGAACATGTGATTTGCCTCGAAAACATGATTTACTTGTTTAACAACATACACTTGTCCCAATCCAAAGTGATGGGAACAAACAAATGCAGACTTTCTAGCCATTTCCAAGTAACATGACATCTTTAAGCTAACATAAAACTTCAGAATTCAAGACTGTAAGTATAAGCCCCTTCAATCATGGTTCCATTTAAGAGACACTAGGTGTGAGCAAACAATTGCCTTAATTCACTCATTTAGAGAGTAGCAAAGTGATGAGCACCAAGTAAGCTTCCAAGCTGACCTGGAAATACCTGAAGGCACCAGATATCAACATACTTTTCCCCTTTCTAATAAAACCTCCTCCATGACACTGAAGAACCAACAGAAATAAATGTTTTTCTCTAGATTTTCCTGATGTGCCTTTCCAAGCGTTTTGCAAGGAACATGTACCAGGAACCATACTGAAAAGCAAGGGCTGGAAGGAGTAAGCTCTGAAGGCTGAGTTGTAAAAAGAGCTGGTGATATTTGGCATGTTTTCCATCCAGATCTGAACCCACAGAGTCCTCACCTCCACAGAATGAGAAATATCACAACAGCAAAGGCTGTCTTAGCCTGTATTCTCTGAAGAAACGGCATGGTCTTGGCCAAATCTGTAACTAATTACCTAGTTAATTAATATTCAGACTCTTGTGAAAACAAAGGCCTTTTAAAGAAAACAGCAAATATCCAAACTCCCAATTTAGAGGAGAGACACTTTTCCTGCTACAATTCCAATCCATCATGTCCAGCAGAACTCGTCTATGTGGGTCAGCCTGGGGCTCTACAGCCAAATCCCTGCACCTAATTTGGTAAACCTGCACATATCATCACTGCAAATTCTGTCCACAGCCAAGATCTGTTCTAAACACAGCAAGGTCAGCCACCACTATCTTTTGCAACAGTTTCACAGGTTAATTACTAACCATGTTTGAAACATAACCTGCTGCTCACCAGATCTTTTATCAACAAACTGGATTCTTTTGTTGCTCATGACTCAAGAACAGTCCTGTCCTCTCACTTCTAAAATCACTTAGAATTAAGAAATTAATTGTCACTCTATATAGTCAATTCATGTTTCCCTACACATAGTTTTAAAGAGTATGCAGAAACTAAAATTAATACATCTGACCAATTCAGATCAAAGTAACTCTTTCAGTATATTCTTGTGTAACACTTGTAAGAGCAGCAAGTTTAGCACAATGGGAGTACATGTTCAGTGTACACAGAAAGCACAAATACAGATAAATCTATCAAAGTAATTTGTGTCTTAAAATAAAAAGTTTATTTTTAAATCAAGATGGCTTTAAATAAGCCAAAGTCTGCCAAACATTGCCTAGCATCTTGAGTCATTTCTTAGAACAGAAACCAAACAGAGGTCCAGGATGATAATAGCTATCTTTTCCTCTTTTACAGCACACCATATCAATTTTTTCCATAAACAGATAGCTCCTTCCACAAGTAAGGAATGCTTTGTCCCACAAAACATTAGAAGCATGTTCTATAGGCTGATTATTTTAAATTTTCTAATTGAGAAAGAGAACAGGGAGTACACAGCGACAACTGTTCAGCTTCAAATTCTTTTTCCTGCTGGATGGCCAAATTCTCAGGTGTCCCCTAGAACTAATTCTCTACCTTCCCTACTTGAGTTTTATTGACTCCCTCTTGAACATGGATTATCAGAAGTGTTTGCAGATGTATACATTACACCTCAGATGCTCAGGCCTACTTGCCTCTAGGAACACACCTAATATTTTAACGATATATCATGCTGCCAGGTCATGTTCTGGCACTGATAAACTGAAGCATTTAGATATTTTTCTCCTCCCTGGCCATTCTTCCATTGCTAAGCTCCCAGACTATGCGACTGGAATTTTATTTAACCCTGAAGAGGTGAACAATATACAACACCCCAAGAATTTCTTGTTGACAGCACCTGCACATTTATTCACCTCATTTCTACTACTGACCATTTTCATTCATGTAAATATTACTGAAGACCAGATCAACACCTAAACTTTGGCTTTAGCAATAGCCTCCAACTTTCCCAGCTTTCACCTGTAAAAAAGTCCTTCTTTCTCTGAATCAGCTTCCTGACACACCTTGTACTTCCTGTATTACTCACTTCTCCAGTTTAATAACTTCCAAATGACAGGAGTCTAAAGATCAGCAAGAAGCTGCTCCTCGTCTGCCAAGGAAAGGCAATTTAATCAATGACTGTTGGTCTTTAAATACAGTTTCTGACAGTATGCTATACTTTCATAATATTCTCCAGTTTACCCATCTTTAGTATAACCTCTGAAGGAGCAAAGTCTACTCAGTAACGAGACCAGAAACTGGCCAGACCACATTCTTCTTCCTTCAAGTGTACTTCAAGTCTAATTTAGTCACATGTTTCAGCTATATACCACATCATGGACTTAAAATGTTTATCAACAATACCAGAGATGAGACCACATGTTTCATACATGTATTCCATCACTCATTTCATGGGACTTTTACTTCTCTGACCTGTTTACATTAGCCTCTTACTTTTAGCTTTCTTTCTACCTTGGGAATAATTTTCCTTTTTTATTTTTGAACTACATATTCCTAGCTTACCTTCCTCAAATTCTAAACTTTATGACCAGTATGCCCACTACAAGTTGAGGCAACTAAATACATACAAACATCTTGGGAGTAGTTTCTCATTCACCTGAGTCCCACTTCCTTTTTTCTTCAAGAGTTGGTAAACCTTCATCTATTGCTTTCATGACTTTAACAATGTCTAACTCAATCTGACTGTTGGCAGACAATTATCTTTTATCTGTTTCCCCCCAAACTAAAAATCTTGTTTTATTATCAGTCATTTTTCCTATTCTTCATAGGCTGTGTGGTCATTCCTTATTTCTTTTGAGGTAGCTGATCACCCAGGTTCAGCGTGGAGCCCACACTAACAGACCATTTTCTTCTTTCTGTAGAATACAGATCCAACACAGCATTAGCAATGTAAAACATCCTGCCTATTCAAACACCCAAGGTGCTCAGACCAGATAACTTAACTGCCTTGTTTCTTCAACCATCAGCGAGACCTGTTTGTGTATCCTTCCATTTAAATGTGAGCAACTCATGATCCCTCAAGTCAATGGTCATTTCTATTCTCATCCGTAACATCTTCATTACTTACCAAATTGAGTTTAAAATAGCATCCCCTCTTCATGAGTCAGTGAGTGTTTGATGAAGAAATTTGTCGGATATCACATCCAGGAATATCTGGGCCCCACCATTATTACTAGCAATTCTTCTCCAATCTGTATCGGGGAAGTTAAAGTCTCCCACAATGACATAATTCCTGGTAGTAATTTTCTCTAACAAGAGTAAAGAGATCTTTAATCCATAACCAAATCTCACTTTGGGGACAGCTCATTGACTCTACGGCAGCAAAAAAGCTTTATCTTTTTCCAAAGTTACTTAAGTTGCACATGTCTGCATTACTGCTTTTGTACAATACAAGTGGAAAGAACAATGCTACCCCTACCACCTTTATTTCCACAGTTGCTAACATGCATCTTCTTCTAACATCTGTACTCAGCCTCATGTATTTCTCTGCAGAGAATCATGTTTTCTCATGCTGATTGCATACTACCTGAACCATTCAGCTGTGTCAGACATTTATGGCCATGTTCTTGATTTAGTGAGTTTGGATTTCTTTAGACCTTGTTTGTTTCAAATGCGGGAGAGGAAAAGGACTGGTGTTTTTTTAAAACACTATTCTCATTTCTAATTGCTGACATGTTTCTACATGAGACTGCCACACCACTTTATAACCTGCATAAATTATGATCTAACTTCAGCGGTGGTTAACTTTCCTTCTCTTTCTGGACTAGACACACTTTTTCCTCAGTACTGTATGTTTTTCATCCTTCTCAAACAGGCAACCAGCATTTTTCTGTCACTGGCCAGTTCATTTTCCTTCCAAGGGCACATCTCTAAAACAACTCTATTATATTCTTTTAGCAACTGTCTACAGCTTCATATGTATGCTCTTCTTAAGACTGCACCTGACCTTCAGTAACATGATTCAGACCTATCTTATTAAGCCTGAATCATTTCCATCACATGCTCTGCTGGAAGGCAAACAAGAATGCTACTTCTTTGCTACTTTCTGACACATCACACACATTCCAGCATCTGGTTATTTGTGACATTCAGGTCCTTTCTACTGTTGGGACAGTTTCATATCCCTTGTTCATAGTATTAATCAAAAGTAGCAAAAAAAAAAAAAAAAAAACCCAACATTCAGGGAGGCGACTCCCTGCTCTAGCTCTGAAGACCCCATGAATAGTTAGTTTTTCAGACCAGCTGTGAACAAAGCAGCAGCAATCACATCCCTCAGCCTCATTCCAGCACACCCACCTGCAGAACACA